GAAGTGAGACGGGACCGAGGGGGTTTGGGGTCCTTTCCAGCGCCCCCAGCCCGATCCGAATCTGTTCCTCCCAGTCGGGCCGGTGGCATCGCTCAACACCAATTCCAAAACCGAATTTGTAATTTAATTTTTTTTTTTTTAAGAAGCATCAAAACCTCATTTGTCAAACCCTTCACCCAAACTCGCAGTCGGGGGTTTCGGGCGTGATGGGGGGGGAAGAGGGGGGGCTGCTTTTGCTTTCTTCTCAACCCGTCCCCAAGCAGAAGAAGGCAGAGACGGTCTGTGATCGCAGACCCGGCTGGGCCGGGTCCGGCCGATGCTCAGCTGCGGGTCAGGCTCAGCCCCAGGGCCGCACTCCCCGCCGCTTCCCCAGGGCTCCAGTCTTTTCCTCCTGCCCAAAACCAGTCTGCAGAGGACCCCCCCCTTCCACCGAGAAGGTCCTGGGGGGTGCTCAGCGCCCGGGTCAGGCCTTGCCGGCCCAGGAGGTGTTTTTTCCGCCCCGTATCACATAACGCACGGCTTGATGTCCTGGTATGTCACTTGTTGGTGGTAATAGGAGCCGCTGCCCGCCGAATGCATGGAAGAGGAGGCCATGGCGTTGAAAGAGAAGACGAATTCCTTTCTGTCACACATGCTCGGAGATTGGGAGTGATACCGCGGGATGCCTGCGGGACAGGGGGAAAGATGGTCAGCAGCCGCCGTCTGGGGTTGAAAAACAACCCCCAACAACCCAATCCCTCCGCACCCCCCAGTATGAGCGCGAAACCGGGGGTATTTTCGCATGCACGGGCACTATTTGGGCTCCGCGGGCGCGGGCAGGTGGGCAGGGGGGAATCCCGAGGCCCCACGACGGCGCTTCCCTGCCCGGCCCAAAGGCGCTGCGAGGAGAAGGGATTTCGGCTGGTTTTAGGGTTTATTTGACATTTAATATTTTTTTTCGCCCCGACTGCTTTTCCCATCGCCTCCGCCAGCGCGGAATACCCGCCGGGCGCGGAGAGGGGAAGCCCGTCCGTTCTCGGGGCTGGCGGCGGAGACCGGGAGGGGGGTCGGGGGTGAGAGGCCACGGGGAGCGGGGCTGTTCCTGCCGCTCCTTCCGCCACCTCGGCACGGAAAAGCGCCCCTGGAATTCGGGGTGCGCTGGGGATGGGGTGCCCTGCCCGGACCGCTCCCCATCGCCCGTTTGGGTGTTAATCGGAGTGTTTCGTTTTAAGGCCTCGGATGGGCCCGGTGGCTCCTCGGGGCAGATTCCAGCTCCGTTTTCCAGCGGCCTTGGGCGCGCTGAGCACCGGGAACATACCCGGGAGCGGTGGGTGCCCTTGGCGGGCGCTGCCCCGGCCCAACCCCGCTCGGGGCTCTGTCCAGGCTCCACCGCTCCGGCCCGGCCCGGTTGATGCTTTTCCTCTGCTTCGCTTGGTGATTTTGACCCGCTAATGCTCTGCTTCACACCCGTTCCTGTCAGGTACATCCCACTCCCCCGAAAGGCCCGGGGTGATGTGCAGAGCCCCCCAGATCTGCCCGATCACCCGGCCATGGCTCCCGGGGCTCCCCAGTGCCTGAGAGTCCCCCATCCACCCAATCCCGAGGTGAATTTGGGCCGCAGAGCGTAACCCAGAGCTGGCCTCGTCCTTCCCAAGGCCTCTTCCAGGCCAAAACACCATCTCCCTTCCAAGACTCGGGGCAAATTCTCCCCCAACAGCTCCATTGTGGGGTCAGGGATAAGGCTACAGGGCGCTGGGGACTCGGGGGATCTGGGCCACCGGCTTTGGCGTGGGAGGAGGGAGGCGATGGGCCTGGAAAATACGGCCCTGAGATGTGTGGAAAACACAGCTGATGGCGGGGGACGGAACGGATGGGACGGGGCGGGAGGGCACGGGTGGCGGACCCCCCGACGAGAACATCCCCCTTTTCTCCCTCCGGAGTCCTCCAAGTCCCAGTGGAGGTGGAAGAGCCCTCGGGCGCATACCCGGCCTCTCCTTCCCGGAGCTCCCCCCTGCCTGAACCCACCGGCCCTAGGCCCGGAGGCAAAGCAGCCGTCCAGGGGATCGGAGCCCCGGCCCGGGGGAGCGGAGCCCTGGCCCGGGGGAGCGGAGCCTCGGCCCAGTGGTTCCCGGCCCCGCGGCGGTGAAGAGCTCCGACGGCTGCCCGGTTGTCCCCAGGAAGGGAAGCGAGGAGTGAGGGCACAGCGGATCTCCCTCGGGAAGCTCATTAAAACTGCCCACGAAGCGAGATCCCCGCTCGGAGCAGCCCGGCCGGGATCCACGCATGGTCGGCAGTCCCCGGTCCCGGGCGTGTCCCACGCGTGTCCGCGCCTTACCTTGGAGGTCGGCGGTGTTGTGGCTGTTCTGGTGCAGGTAGGGCTGGTCGAGGGAGTGCGTGGAGAGGCTGGAGGAGAGCGGGTTGGCTGTGGGGTTGCAGGGCGAGAGAGGCTGCTGCTTGATGTAGGACGCGCCGGTGTTGAGGGCCGCCGAGGCGGTGGGTGCCCACGCCGAGGCCGAGCTGGAGTAAACCGAGTGCGGCTCCATCACGCCGCCGGCGGGGAGCAGCGGGGAGGCGGGCACGGAGCTGTCGTGGTGCGGGTATTCCCCTGCCGAGGAGCCGGTGCAGCCGCCCATGTAGGTGTGCCCACCGTTGGCAGGCAGGTGGGGCACGGAGTGTCCCGCCAGGCCCATTCCCTCCACGTTGCTGGACAAATGCCCGTTCATCATCCCCAAGCCCCCTTCGAGGGAGAGGCTGTTGGGGGGGCAGGAGAGCCCGCTGGCCGGGCTCTGGAAGCCGTAGCTGTCGGGGAGGTGGTTGAAGCTGAGCCCGTTCATCATGCTGTACATGGGCTTCAGCGCCTGGCATTTCCTCCGGAACCCGCGGGGCCGGCGGCGGAACGAGCCCTCCTCGAACATGAACTCGCTGGCCGGGTCGATGGTCCAGTAGTGGCCCTTGCCGGGGCGTCCCAGCCCTTTGGGCAGCTTGATGAAGCACTCGTTGAGCGAGAGGTTGTGGCGCACAGAGTTTTTCCAGCCCTGATAGGAGCCTCGGAAGAAAGGGAAGCGGCTCTGCAAGAACTGGTAGATCTCGCTGAGGGTCAGACGCTTGGAGGGAGAGCTCTGGATAGCCATGACGATGAGGGCGATGTAGGAATAAGGCGGTTTCTCCGGCCGCCGGATCCCCGCGTTGGTCTTCTTCGCCTTAGGGCCGGCGCTGCCCGGGGCTCCGCCGCTGCCCGGGGCGCTGCCGGCGGCCCCGCCGGTCCCCGCCGACGCGGTGTCCATGGCCGAGCTCTGCGGCTGCTTCTCAGCCACCGAGGACATGGGGCCGTAGCTGCTCTGCACCGGAGGAGGAGGGGGCTGAGAGGACAGAGCCTGCTGCGCTTCTGCAGTCATCTACGGCCAGGTCCGCGGCGGCCAGCCCCAGCCCCGGCCCTCCTCCGCCGCCCCCCCAGCGCCCCCCCAAAAGGCCACGCTGCTGGGGGCTCGCCGCCACTCACCCACCACCCTCCCTCCGGCCTCCTCCCGGCCCCCCGGCGGGGTTTTCTTTCCACCGGGAGACTTCACCCCTCCGCGGATAAACAAATGGAAGCGACGACACCCCCACCCCCCCTTTTCACTCCTCCTCCCACTTTATCCCTAAATCCGAGCGCGGCTGCAGAAGGCGAGCGAGAGGCGGAGGGTCGGGGGGTGGCCGCAGGGAGGCGGGATGGGTGGAAGCGATCTGAGCTGGGCTGCTGCGAGCCAGGAGCCGGCGGCCGCCGCCTCCGCCTGCCCCGCTCCCCTGGGCGGGCCGGGCTCCCGGGGCCGCCGCCGTCCCTCCGCCGGCTCTAGCTGGGCTGGCGCTGCCGGTGCTGCGCGGAGCTGCTTCCCATCGCCGTGGCTGTCGAGTCTGCCTCCGGCCCCGCCGCTCGCCTTCTACTTTATCTCTTTGCAGCGGCGTCTGCCGCTCCTTGACAGACGTAAGCGCGGAGCGGAGATCCCCGCCCCGGCCCGCTCCCCCCCGCCCTCCCGGGCGGCCCCTCCGCCGCCTCGTCCCGGCCCCCTCCGCTCCCGCTCCCCGCTGGCGGGCAGCTTTTAAAGAGCCCTTTCCACGCCGCCCTACCCCACTCGGGGGGGCCTGCGCGACGCCCCCCTGCCCGACGCGGGGGCACCGCGTGTGCGTGTGTGTTTTATGCCACGAGTGACCGCGACGCTGCGTGGGGCTCCTCCACCCCCTCCCTACCCGCCTTCCCACTGCTGAAAACCACGGGAAGGGCCCCACGCGGGCCGTGGAAGGGGCCGGGGCCCGCGGAGGTTCCGCGCGTGGCGTGGGGCAGCGGAGGCGCTGCCCGGCCGCCAGGTCCGCGCTGCGCGGAGCTTCACCCACTTCAAACCCCCTCTCCGTGAGCTCTTTTAAGCTCGGCGGGCCCGGGCAGGATGTTTATACTGCGCAATGTAAACACGGGCTCGGGGGTGCTTTAATAAAAAGAAATCGGCGAAAACTCCCGCTGCCTCGAGAAATGCCCTTTTCTGCCTCCGCCGCCGCTCCGAGGCCGGGAACGGGCTTCGGACCCCTCTCCTGCTCCGAGGCTGCTTTGGGGATGAGGGTGGGTTGTTTTGTTTTAGGTTGCTTTGGGGTTTTTTCGGGGAGCGTATATAAATCTGTGCCGGAGTTCCGCAGTTGAATGCCCGGAGCCTGATGCTCAGCTCCGGCGGTGCCACGGGCGCACACAGCGGGCGGGGGGAGGGAGAATAGACAGGCAGAGGGGTAGAGACCCCCTTTTCTCCCTCTCCTCCTCCCCAAAAAGCCTCCTTTCTGAGCATCGTGCCATCGGGAGAGCTGTCACTCGAGGTAAGTCGCTTGAAACCTTTGTCACCTTCTTGCGGACTGCGCGTGGAAAGCTGCGCTGCGGAGGTGTGGGATTGTGGGTGGGCACGGGGGAAGGAGCCTGGGCTTTCAGGGCTGCTGATGTGCTGGCTGCTGCAGCGAGCTCCCTTCCGCGACTGGGGAAAGGAAGAGAGAAAGGAAGGGGGAAAAAATACACCCCACCACAAACCACTTGCAGGCCTCGCCGTAGTGCTGTGGGTGCATCCTGCTGCACCCCCAGAAGAGAGAGAGGGGACACCCCCCTCCCCAAGCCCTCCTTCTACCAGAATCGCTTTTCAAGTTTTTAATGATAATTTAATGCCTTTTAAAGGAAAGATAGATACCGATCGGGTTTCCAAACTCCCTCCGCGTTATTGGCGAGCAGTTGTGAGCAGCCTCCGGGGCGCCTGTCACATCTGTGGTACAACCAAGAGGGATTTCACATGAGGGTTGTTGTTGGGTTTTTTTCCGTCTATCCTCCCTCTTCCCCTCCTTTGCCCCCTCTCCGCCAAAAAAAAAAAAAAGTCCTCCTGCAGAAAGCACCGACCCTCTCGTTCCCGGTGCGATGGGATGGGGACAGGCAAGGGAGAGCCCTGGGGAAAGCCCAGGCCGGGGGCAGGTAGCCAGGGAGGGGGTGGGGGAAGGTTGGGACAGTTATTTCTGGAGCTTTTCCCTTGAGGAGGAGGAAGAGGACGACGAGCAGCTCCGGCTGTCCGGGAAGGCGGCGGCCGCTGCTCCTCCCGCCCGGGACCGCCGGCGCGGAGCAGAACACGGAGCACAGCGACTGCTCGGGAAGGGGGACAATCACTAAAAAATATCGCTTTTCTGGGAAGCAATCACCTTCCCCGGCGTTTACAGCCCCGAGGCGGCTAGTGCAGAGTAACCACGCCGCTTCTGGCTGCATTGCTTTTTATTTTGTCCGTGGGAGAGCATCCCTGACCCTGAGCTTTGCTCCGCATCGAATGTCTCCCCCTGGATAGCGAAAGGGGTGTTTTTCTTTGTTTTATGTAATTCTGAGACTGAATCTCCACGATCTGTCCCCGAAACACCCTGGGATGGAGCTCGAAACACAACACTAGGAGCTCGTGGAAAAGCCACTTTCAAAACCGTCCCCAACGGCAGCGTTTCCACTAGGAAATAATATATCTCAGGGTGAAAAAAAACCCCCACATTCTCCGTGTAAATCAAACTATTTCCATTCAACGAAAATCAGTTCCTTCTCGAGTGCCCTTTCCCCCTCTCACAGTGTCTTTCAGGAATGTGAAGATTTTGTTTCCTATGTATTTATTAAAGCGAGCCAATGTTAAAAGAGGGAATATATAGCTCTGGGTCCTATAGGCCTCGTCGTGGGAATAGCAGAAAGGTTGGAGGGTTTTAACCGAAGCCTGTGAGTTGGGGAAAGGAGAATTTTGGGGGAGAAAAGCCGGGTGGTGGCTGGTGTGCGAGGAGGAGAATGGTGTGCGGAGGACCGGGATCCGCTTTTGGTGTCGTTTGCTGGTGGTTTGGGTGGGTGAAACGTGTCGTCCTCCAGTCCTCGACTGGGAGAGATGAAAAGAAAGGAGAAAAAGAAGAAATTACAAAAATTAAACCATCATCTGGCGCAATTAGCCTTTCTAATCCCGTTTGGATCCCGTTTTATCGGTCCCGCGAACACCCCCCGGCCCCGCTGCACTTCCCAACCGGCTGCTTCCCAAACCCGCTCCCCTTCCTTCCCCCTCCCCGAAACTCGGGCCGTGTTTTGTGTAAAAATAGACAAATCCGAGCTTTCTTCCTTTTCCTGCGCCGAAGGTATTTTTACTAGCTAATTGCTTAAGTGAAGTCAACTTTGCAAGCAGGCCGGGTGTAATCCGAGTATGGAAATGTATATAGGTGGTATTGTTAGAGGCGGGCTGGGTGCTGCTCCGAGAGGGGCCGGGGTGTTCCTGCGAGCCCGGACCACCCAGGGCGAGGGGAGTGACCGCCTTATGTCCCCCTCCCCGCTGCCCTGCTTTGCATTAACACCACCCGCAAGACCCCCCCCCCCCCTCCTTCTTCTCCAGCACCAGCCTGTTTCCCTCGGCTGGTTGGGGTTTTTTTCGGTCTCGTTCATCCCCGTGGCCGCCGGCCCCAAATCCGCGGCGAATCGATCCCTAAATGTTTATTTAAAGGCGAGGGGGTGCGTTCAAGCGAGGGGCTCGAGGCTGGGGAGAGGGGCGCTGGGGGCGAAGGTGGAAGCACCGAGGGAGAGGTTGTTTTTCGGGACACACACGCACCCCCAACCATTTTTTTGCGGGTCCATCACACGCGGCAGCGCTTTGCTCCACGCGTGTGCGAGTGCCCCGTCGTGGACGGGCCCTTTCCAGTGGCACACACAGCCCAGCCTCGGGCCCTCGCATCCCTGGAGGTAGAGCCCGGCCTCCAGGATCGAAGGGGACCTGGAGGAGATTTTGACAAAGCAGAAGCCGAAATTGGGAGCGGGTGCGCAGCTAAGCTGCCGAAGAGCCTCAGGCGGCTGCGGGGAGGTGCGGGCTGGCTGTCACCGCCGCGCCTCAGGCAGGAGTTCAGGCTTTGGTCAGAAAGGAAAAAAAAAAAAAAAAAGGAAAATCTTAATCCCCCCTTTTTGTCTCCCTTTTCCCCCCTCTGCCCGTCCCGAGACTCCCCCCTTCAAGCCCAGATTTTCCGTGACGTCCTTCGATGAAATATTGCAGCACAGGAATTTACAGCCTTCTTCAGAGCAGGATTTTTTTTTCTTTGGAGTTTTCTGGCAGGACCTAGTCCCTGCAATACAAATCGGTTCCAGCGATAATAAGCTCCGAGCGCTACCACTTCAGACACAATCGCTTCCCACAGAGATCTTCCAAATATCTCCGGGTATTTATATCCCTGCTCAGGGACGGATAGCTAGAATACTTTCCCGGGGGGGGATGCTTTGGACTGGCTGGGATTCAGACCCGAGGACCTGGGTACCGAGAGAAACAGCAGGGTTGAGCCGGAGAAGAGCTGGGACTCGGCGCGTGGTGCTCCCGGCCATCCTTCAGCGAACAAGTTCGCCCCTAAAGACAGCCCGAATTGTAAATCCAGGTGTAAATCCAGGTGTAAATCCAATCTGGCACTGCTGAGACATCCACGCTTTCTTGGACAAGTTTTCTTCCCTGGGGGCCCGGTGCTGGGGATGCTCCCAAAGCAAACAGGACCCTTGGGAAGGGATAACCCCTCTCCCAGCACCTTGACACAGCAGTGGCATCTAAACAAAACGAGTAGCCACTACCAGCTTTTCTAGCCCCATCGTGTTAGAGGTAAAATTGTGACAGCGGTTTCGGAGAACCATTTCGATCCGCTGAGCTTTTTTCGGATCGGGAACCACCTCCAGTCCCCGGCGACCGCCAATGTGAAAAGCCCGGCCGGGCCGAGTCGGGTCGGGGGGTCCCCACCAAAAGGGGAGAACAAGAGGCTTCCTCGGGGCTCAGTCTTATTTCCAGACTTACGAAACTTTTCTTTTTCGTTGTTTTCTTTCCAACTTTAGACCAAAACCCCATCGAAATCGCATCAATGTGCCCATGATAGTGGA